GCAGCTTCACTGGCTGTATTCAACATCAGCAATAACTGTGGGTGCCGCAGCGGCCTAGCCTGTAGAAGTTTGTTGTAGCAACAGTAGAGGCATAGGTTGTTAATATCCTTGGTAGCAAGGGCCTTTGTGGTCCTCCTATTCTCATATTCTCATTTCCCCCACAATGAGAAGATTTAAGAGGGAATCCCTCTTAATATCAGGGCTAACATGACTTACAATCAGCAGTTGCTGCACTGGGCTCCAGGTGCAGATGCTCAGATTAGCTGTGGGGGCGTGATCCTGGGATCAGAGTCTCATGAATCTATGTGGCACCTGGGTATTGGAGTACAGATTCACTCTGTGGCAGGGTTAGATGTAGGTTGCCCAGAGTACCAGGATCCATGTCTCTGGGTATCCCCCATAGCATCTCAGATCCAGAAGGTTGGATTGCAGTTGTGATTTTACTCCTAGGAGTCCTGGCCTGACTCTAAGGAAGGAGGGATGTTCTGAAGGTTTGAGCCTGGGGCACAGACTATAGCTGTAATTCAGGAACCTAAGCCAATAGGGCTCAGTGACAACCTGGGTCCCTGGGGATGAGCCACAATGTAGTGGTGACTCTAGACCCTGAGATGGTAGGACTCGGCAGTATCCAAGGTCCTGTGGGGCTAAGTGTAGCAGCAGCAGCAAGTACCCCAGAATGGCCGAGCGTGACTGCTGTAGTACTGTGGTGCAGGGAGCGGCACAGCAATGAATCCACTTTGCAGGGAAAGGGGTGCCTTAGCAGCTCAAAAACTAGAGAGCTAATTCAGCTTCCGGGAAGCAGGGTACTAGAGTTGTGTGGCCTGTAGGGTGGGGTGTCTCAGCTTAGCTACTGCTCTATTTCCCTGGGACACAGGGTATTGTGTCAGCTCAGCTCTGGGATGCACAGCTGCTTAACTCAGTCAGTATACTCATTACCCAGGAGGTGATATTCTTCTTCTGCTCAAGTCTGGTGGGCATGGCTGTTCTGGGCAGCTCCAGCACCATTTCACTGCTATATAGGGCTTTTCCAAAGTACTGTTTCCTTGGGAGGCAAAGCTTAGTTTCAGCTCAGGCCCCTAGGGGCAGGGCATGGCCAAATCTGAGAGAGGCAGAGCTGATCTGCCAAAGCACCATTTTAACGGGAGAGAGGGCACAGCCTTAGCTCTATCCTGAAAGGTGTGTTGAGGGTAGGGTATGTGAAACAGTTCTATTGTACTTGTCCCCACAGAGAAAGGTTTAACAGTTGCTTGCAGCTTGACCTGGGGATGTCGGGTCACTGGGAGTGGGGTGGGGTAGGGGTCAGGGTGGTTCACAGTAGTTTAGCTTCAGGAATGAAGGGATGCTGTGGCTATAATCTCTGAACAAGACAGCAATATACACTCCATTAGTTCCAGTTCTAAGATGGTATGGCACTGTTGCCATGCAAGCCACAGGAGGCAGGGCACAGTGTCAGTTTCTTCTTTGGAGGGAACACAGTATCAACTCTCTCTTGTGTAGCATCTAGGCAGCTTCTTCAGCTGGGCTTAGAGCCTGTGAGAACTTCAGGAATCCCAGTAGTGAGGACTGTAAGCATCCAAGGTATTGGTGGGGGCTACTGGGATCCTCTTGCCTATCTTTTCACTACAGGGAGAAGTTCCTCCTAGTTCCCAGCTGATCCAGGCTGGGGGATGGGTAGTGGAGTCCTGGTGTTTTCTTCCATTCCCTATGTATCTATCCTGAGTTTTAGTTTCTTTTGCTCCTTTGACATATACTCTGGTGCTCTTTTTCAGTTATTTTCATTAAAATATAGTTTTTTATTATTGTTTTGGTTGTCTTTGTGGAAGAGATGAGAGCTAGTGTTTTCTAGTTGACCATCTCTCTCATTTCTCTTTTGAGTGGGTCTAGTCATCTTGCTGGTTCCCTCATTAATGTTAAATAAAACTTGTACTCATATCCACATGTATTTACATGAGAATTATATTTTTTATCATTTTGAGAATTATACTTTCACAAAAAAATATGAAAGTTCCACAGAAATGCTGGTTAGGAGAAGAAACAGGAATTCTGCTGAGCATCCAGGATCAACTCTCAAAACTTCTTTATCTATTCTTATTTTGTTATTAATCAGATTAACTACTTAATTTTCACCATTAATCCCAGGAATAATAAATATACTAATATAATAACCAATTTGCCATCATCAATTAATAATCATACTCAAACAATGAAGAATCACCAGAAGAATCTTCATAACCCACTTCTTCACTACAAAAAATTACTCAAATCTCCAATTCTTTTAAGTCATATGCTAATACCATTCCAACCACCTTCTTTTTTTTTTTTGAGTTGGAGTCTTCCTGTTGCCCAGACTGGAGTGCAGTGGCCGCTCCCGGCCACCGCAGCCTCAACCTGCTGGGCTCTGGCGATCCTTCTGCCTCAGCCTTCCATGTAGCTGGAACTACAGGCGCGCACTACCATGCCCGGCTCATTTTGATTTATTGTAGAGATGAGATCTTGCCAAGTTGCCACCTTCTAATCATATGGCAAGAAAGCTAAGAAGCTCTACAATCAAACTTAACTATAAAGTCCCCCAGATAACTATATTTGAACCCCAGGCTTCAGGATATTTCTCAGTAGCCTTAGTCATAGTATAACTAAACACTACAAGCAAAGCACTTAATCATGCTAAAATAGAGCTATTAATCCTAAACAAAAAAATCACCAAAATGTACTATAATAACTTATTCAACTCTGCCTCTTACAACTAATCCAATAGGAGATGGTTTTGAAGAAAAGTTTGGAATACAAAAAGAAGCATGATATTTAATACAAGTAAATATTAAACATCATAGTTACCACATGGTATCTAACTATGACCACTGACATAAAAAACAACTCATTATCTTTCAACAATAAGGACTACTAAGTCCCAATAAGGACTACCAATAAAAATCCTCCAATAATTAAAATTAATCAACCCTACCATTCCATCAAACATCTCCATCTGATGAAACTTTGACTCAACGTTAGGAGTAAGTTTAATTCTACAAATCCCAGTAAGAGTTTTACAAACTATATATTACATATCAGATTCAATAACAGCCTTTTCATTTAAAATGCACATTTTCCAAAACATTAACTATGGCTAACTCATCCCATATATACATCATAGTGGAGAATCTCTAGTTTTTTATGTGCTTTTCTATTCATATACACTGAGACATATTGTAGAGTTTACACATACTCAGAAACCTGAAATATGAGATTAATCACATTATTTCCACATTTACAGCCTATATATGCCTATGAGGACAAATATTCTGAGGAACTGAAGTAATAACAATTCCACTTTAAGCTATCTCATATTAATACTAATATAAGCTATCTCATATTAATACAGAATGAATCTGAAGCGGAGTTTCAGTAGATGAGTTCATCATTACATGATTCTTTACTTTTCTCTATTTTTTACATAAAACATGATCAACCAGTCCTCAGGATTAACATCATATATAAATAAAATTCCACTCTACCCTTAGAATGCAACCAAAAATCCCCGAATATTTACTGCCTTAATTACACTCTTATCTGATAAGGGAGTTACTGCCAAGCTGATCCTCACATATGCTATCTCTGTAGCTTCATATGCTAGCAACATGGATGCCTGCTGTCTGACTTATTGAGATGTTTATTTTCAAAAGCAATGTCTCAAATGGATGTATCTTATTGGACAGAACCTAGGTCATGTGGTTTCCTACCCATAACTTAAACTGGAAAATATAGGTTGTATATATATATTCTTTCATCTATCTTGTGAACACAGGCTTGATCTTTATCAAATGCAAAGCTGACCTTATACCCACTTAAACATAATCAAGACCAACAGTTCTTATGAGGTTGTCCAAAACAAAAAAAACATGTCAGCCGGGCCTATGGTGATTCCATGTGTGCAAAATGTGTTCGTGACAGGATCAAGTGTGCTTTTCTTATCAAGGAGCAGAAAATCATCATGAAAGTGTTGAAGGCACAAGCACAGATCACAAAGCAAAATAAGAAATGAAGCTTTTTTTCTGTAATAAAAATTAAAAGCCTAAAAAAACCCAACTCTAATTTGTTGTTTAACCATTGCTATGATTTTCCCTCACCATGTTTTCCAGATTCTTCTCCCAATCTATGTCCCATCTACTCTCCACCCTTCCCTTCTTTCTCTCTTTCCTTCCCTCCCTCTCCTTCTTACACACACATACCCTCTTGCTCTAGTATAATATAATCTCTGAAACACATCACCATTATTGCCATGGTTCCCCTTAGTAATGATCTTCTCTCAACTCAAATGGCACCTCTGTATACAGTAAATATTCTCCAACTTCTTCAAGAGGAACCATTCACTCTTGCCTTAAAATTACATTGTACACAGCACATGCTTTATATTTTACCACATCCATTATTAGTCTATACCTCTCCTTCCAAAATCTCCCATTCATACCTCTCAGACTGAGTTAGAAATTTTTCTTGTGTGATCCTGAAGAAGCCTGAAATTAACTCTAGTTTATCACAATATATTGTAATTGTCTGTTTCTTATACTAGTCTGTGAACTGCATTATGGCATATATTCCATATGCCTAATACTCAGTAGACACTTGATAAATATTTGTTAAATGGCAAGAAGAAGAAATCAATAATACATATGTTTTCTAGTCTGCATTGCCCAGGAAAATGCTATGTACATGGCAAGCACACTGCAAACATTTATAAAATGGTTGGGTAAAAAGGAGTAAGACAAGAGTACATTTACAAGTTTGTCTTCAGACCCCCTGGTGAATGTAGAAAGCAGCAATTAGACTCACTGCATTGCCAAAGAAGCCCTCCTGCCAATGCTAAAGTCCTGTTACCAAACTAGGATGAAATTTCTGTACATCTGCCTATCTTCACCTGTGGTCTTTATCTTCAGGAGCAGCACATAATCTCGTACAACAGAGGGATTCAGTGCAGATTTGTGGAACTGGGCAATGTGTTTTACCTCTGGTTTAGTAAACCATTTGCCTGCATTCAGAGTTGACAGGAAATCCCAGCTGAAGGAGCTAGAGTGCCTGAAGGCAGCTTCTGGCCGAACTTCCCTGATATTAGTTGTTCTTCTCAGGTCAAAGTCATGCATGAGGAAAGGCACCCGGTCATAACTGCAGGCAGAGGTGGAAAAAGAGGGGCAGAGGTGGATAGGCTAAAGTTAGTTATCTTGGCAGACAGGATCCCCAGAATGTTCTTCAATGTCATAAGTCTTACTTAGGCCTTACTCCTCAAATATCAAAAAGGGACGGAATATCAGACATTTACACTTTGATGTCAATATTTTTCTTCCCTAGGAATCAATCTTTCATGATATGTAATCACATTAGTGATGGTGAGACTAGCTTCCCTATTCATAGGCTTTCTGGCACCAGGAAAGCAGCAAGTACAATAAATGCCTGAAGAATAAGGTGAATGGGAGTGGGGATGAGGCAAGGTCTTCAGGTCCCAGAGCCATACTAAACAGGCATCCACATAATCCTTCTTTTCCCAGAGGGACACCTGCACTGAGTATTTCTAGTCCTAGAACCTCCATATCTGAAAGGATCATTAGACAAGTTCCTCATTTTTCCATCTGCTATTTGCTTTGAAGAACCCCAGGTTTTATGAAGCTCTTTCTCATTAAAATGCCTATGAAGAGAACATCTATAATGAGGGAGTAAGGCTTGGGTCTTACTCTCCTGCCATAAACCACTAGAAAACTAGACAAAATAAAAGAAATAACTGTTTTCGGTTGATGGACAACAAGGAGCACAGTGTTACAATCTCTGAGAAAAAGAAAACAAATGAAATAAGCTATTCCATTACCCCGGCTTCCTTTCTGCAGGTGAATAATGAACTGCAGTACACAGAGGAGGGACCGAAAGGGGACCCAGCTATCTTGCTGAAATAAGGATAAAAAGATCAAAGTAAGAGAAGGCCAAGAAACCTAGAATTTGTAGCCTAGAATGCCACAGAAGACACAAGTATAAAAAAGGAAACAAAACAACAACAACAACAAAAAACAGCTTCAGGAAAATATGCAGAGGTCCCTTAAGTGTATGGATAAATGTACAGAGTAAAATTAAATGAAGCTTGGCAAGACCAGAAATTTCTAAGATAATTGAATTGCAGAGTTCAAACAGGAGTATGAATCATTCAGTTCAATCCAGCAAGAGAGGAGAGTCCTTGATGGTTACATGGACTTTTTAAAAATTTTTTTTTTGAGTTGGAGTTTCACTCTGTCACCCAGACTGGAGTGCAGTGGCCGCTCCCAGACACCGCAGCCTTGACCCACTGGGCTCTGGCGATCCTTCCACTTCAGCCTTCCGAGTAGCCGGAATTACAGGCATGCGCTACCATGCCCGGCTGATTTTTGATTTATTGTAGAGATGAGGTTTCGCTGCCCAGGCAGGTCTCGAACCTGCGGGCTCAGGCAATCCACTCACCTCAGCCGCCCAAAGGTGCGGGATTACAGGCTGAGCCACCGAGCCTGGCTTACATGGGCATTCTTTAACTCCAAAGATCACACCTTAGGAAAGGGAATAATTTAGAACTTAGAACCAAGGCTGGGCTCGGTGGCTCAGCCTGTAATCCCAGCACTTTGGGAGGCCAAGGCGAGAGGATTGCCTGAGTCCACCAGTTCGAGACCAGCCCAGACAACTTGGCGAGACCTCGTCTCTACAATAAATAAATTTTAAAAAATTAGCTGGGTGTGGTAACGATCTGCTGACCTACTTGCCCAGCAGGTGGAGGCTGCAGTGGCCATGAATGTGCCACTGCACTCCAGCCTGTATGACAGAGTAAGACTCCTACTAAAAAAAAAAAAAAGAACTTAGACCCACTTTAGAGTCTCCATAAAAGAGCTTAAAAACAAACCTCTGAAGAAAGGATCAAACTACTCTGGAAGTAATATAGTTAGGTAGCTAGAAAAAAACAACATTCTTTAAGGGAACACAACAAAATATACCACCTAGTAATGTAAAATCACAATGTCCAACATGTAACCAAAGCTTACTAGAGATATAAATAAACAGGAAAATGTCCCCATATGTAAGAGAAAGTACTCAATAGAGACAAACTCAAAAGTGAAAGAGATGATAGGATTAGTAGGAAAGGGTGTTAACTAATGCAAAAGGAAATTATAGATGTAGATAATATATGTAAAGGAAAATATGAAAATAATGAAGATATAAATGTAAGATATTAAAAATGGAAATTTAAGATATAAATAACTTAATAACTGAAATGAATATTTCACTGGATGAAATTTAAGACAAATTAGATACTACAGATCATACATACCAGTGAATTTGAAGATGTAGCAATATAATCTATGCAAATGAGAGCATAGAAAAAAGAATAGGGCAAGAAAGAATAGGGCACCAGTGACCTGTGAGGCAATATCAAGCAGTAGTATATATGTGTAAATGGAGTTCTAGAAAAAAAGGAACAAAAAAATTTTTGAAAAACTGAGCAGCCCCTCAGGTCCCCTCCCACTGTGGGAGCTTTTCTGTCCTCTCAATAAATCCTGCTTTCTAAAAAAAAAAAAAAAAAAAAGTAAAACTCAAAAGTTTTTTCAAAATTTGATGAAAATTATGTATCAACAGAGCTATGAATATTAATTAATTCCAAGAAAGATAAATGTAAGAGTACATACACACACAATCGTAAGTACCAAGCTAGTGAAAACCTAGTGATGAAAATAAATTTCAAATGTAGACAGAGGGAAAAAGGCATGTGTAGTGGGGAATATGGATAAATATACAGCAGATTTCTCATCAAAAAATAAGATATGTTTAATACTGAAAGAAGACAACTATCAACTTAGAATTCTTTATCTAGAAAAAATATTCTTCAAAAATGAAGGGAAAATGAAAATATTTTCATACAGAGAAAAGGTAAGATGATTCATTTGAAGTTATTTCAAGCATACCTTCATTAAAAGAAAAATGAAAAAATAAAGTGATATAATTTGAAACTCAGATCTATATGATAGTGCCATAAATGATAAATATGAGTAAATATTAAAAATTTTTTCTCATTTTTAATAAAAAAAGTGAAATTGACTAATAAAAAAATTAATAACAATGTATTATGGGGTTTATGAGGGCACCAGGTCTGAATATGGGAGAGGCGAAATGTTAGCATACTGTTAAAATATTTATATTTTACACAAAAATGTATGATATTTATAGGAAGAGATAAGTTAAAGATCATATTACAAATTCCAGCACTACCACTACAAAAAGAAAAGTATAGCTAATAATCCAATAGTAAAGTCCTAAAAATACTCCTAGTCCAAAAGGAGGCAGAAAAACAGAAAACAAATAACAAAATAATAGCATACTCACCATGGTCTAAAAGTTAAGGAGGTGCCCAAAAAAACTCCAACAGCCAAGATAAATACTATTTTAATGCAGTATTTTTAAAAATCAAGATCAAAGCAAAAATCATTTTTAGGATTAATAAGCAAAATATTAAATTTTAAAGTAGTATCACTGACTTTTCCTTTTGTCTCAGGTTCTCACATGGCATGTAATGGCACAGCTTCATCAAAATTTCTGACATTTTGTTCATCATGGATGTTGGAAGGGTAGACAACACTGAGAGGAATTACTAATCACACACACACACACACTTGTTAGGTGTAACATAACATTTACATGAATTTCCCTCTAAAGGTTAAGCAGAGGCTGAGTTAGTGGGGAAAGAGCAGACACAAGAGGCACACACAAGCTTACTGGGATTTTTCAATTTCTTCCCAACTCAACTTGCATGGATTCCCACTGACCATTGACAAGATTTCTCCTTTTGGTTCACAAAATGAGGTCAATATTGTTCCAGGGTCTATATGTTTCTGCAATCCCCAGAAAACCCAATTCAGTGGTCTTCAGAGGCATATGGTTGGATGGGCTCCTATGCTAAAATTTTTACTAGAGGACTGGAATAACATCAGCCCAAGTCTTTCAGTACATCTTCTCAGGGCCTCACACAGGCTTTCTCTCAGATACAAACAACTTGTTTATATTACTTGCTTTTGAGGTAGAAACATGCGTATCCCTTCTCAAACATTTCTCATAAATATCATGCTCAAATAAAAGTTTCATTTAAATATGTTTGACATTTTTAAAGAACATGTTTGTAATTTTACAAGGTGGGGTGAATATTGTTGAAACAAATTCACTTTGGGGTGAATTCACTGGGGTAGAGATGAGGCATCCTTTACAAATATCACAAATCTCAAAAATTCCAACATTTTAAGGACAAGAGAAGGAGGAGCCAGCGAAGGAAGTCACATAGGAAATAGCCAGATAGGAAGAAAATCAGGATAGCATGATATTCTAGAACATTCTAGAAGTCAAATTTAGAAAGTGTTTAAAAATGAGGGACTACTCAAATCCTGAGAGGTTAAGATGAAAACTGAACCCTTAGAGTACCAAAGAGACAATGCCCCCCCCCAAAATCAAACCTCAGAGTCCATACAATGGAAATTACCAATGACTGGCTCCAGAACACAACAGGGATCAGGGAGTGGACAGAAAGCATGAGCAAGACTCAAGAAAGACAAGAAGCAACAGTGAAAGAACTTGTAACAGAGATTTTGGCCATAAAAAACTTTGTCCAGAAAATATAAAATATACAAGCTGACTAGTATAGAAAGCAGAGGAAATAATCTCAGAGCTTGGAGACCAAAATGTGAAATAAACCCAATCTGTTAAAAACACAGAAAGAAAATTCAGGAAGAAGTAGCAAAGTCTCCAAGAGATGTGCGGCTATATCAAGAGGCTGAACTTATGCCTGATTGGTATCCCTGCGGCAGAAAGGGAAATGTAAAACACCTTGGAACAAGTACTCCAGGAGGTTATCCAAGAAAACATTCCCATCACACTAGAGATGCAATGATCCAAACAAAGGAGATTCCCCACAAGACACAAATGAGAAGACCAACATAGTAATTTGCTTATGTAAAGTAGGTATAAAAGAAAAAATCCTACAGGTAGAAAGAGAAAGGTCAGACTACCTATCAGGGAAGATCAATCAGAATAGCAGCAGACTTATCAGGAGAAACACTACAAGATAGAAGAGTCTGGAGTCCAATTTTCAAAGTTGTCAAAGATAAATAATTTCAACC